GCTATTGTATATTCGAATATTAGTGGCGGAGTGGAAGCGCTGTATCGTCAGCATCCAAAAAAGCCAGATTCGCGCACGCGCTTTACAGAGCACCAACCTCGCCCGGTTTAGCCGGTGGAAGCCTAGAACCTCGGGTGGATGCTACACGTATAACTCATCCAATTCTATCCAGGACCGGTTCTGGGCTGTTAGCCGCCTGCCCGCTAGATATTTGACCGCCCTCGCCCGATTACGTGAATCGCGAGTAGATTTATAACTTAACCCAACCGATAAGAATCCACCTGTATGTTTTTATGATAGTTCTATATAGTTGACATGAGTTTAAAAAAATCCATTATAATATTTGATATTTTTATTCCGCTTTCCGATTTTATATTACGAATTTCAATGTTAAACCAGTGATATTACGATTTCGTATGTCCCATTTTTAAGGGGATGTAGGAAAAAACGTGTACAATTCTTGTATAATGTTAAAAAATTAACCGTTACTTTGACAGCATCATTTATAACTAAATTTAATGAATGAGAGAGATGCACGAGGTACAGGAAAAGCTCTAGAATTTATTTTCTTTAAATTTACGATTTATGTATCCGTTTGTCATAAAATTTGTCTTTCCACTTTTTTCCCCGAGACTACCAATATTCGAGTACAAAGTAACTGGTTTCGACTTATTTCTACTTAAGAAGTAGTTAAATAATTAAGCGATTAGGGAATTGGGGACATAAACAAAACCCTGACGAAAGAGCCAAAATTTTACTTAAACAAAAGCTGGTTAAGCTTTTGTTTAAGTAAAATTTGGTTCGGTTAGAACCAATCTATAGCCGAGTATAGTGGGGACTGATTTCTTCGTAATATTAGATGTAATAAAGAGAGAAATTTTTCCAGTTCAATGGCAATGTCCGAAAAGTTGTAAATTTTGGAAATTTCCGTGGACCCTGGTCCTAAAACTAATTAGTTAGAAAACAAACGACGGACGATTTATTAAGTTTAACATATTTAGATTTTTACAGCTATGGCGAGAAACGTTTAAAATGTACAACAACCCTGTCGCGTCCTTTTAGGTATACTAGTGATGCGACAAAAGAGGCATTTGACATTGACCGGTATCGGCACCCTCGGTATTTGCAGCCCGCGTGCATGCACCTATCAGGACCGTCTCTGATTCCATCCATTAGTCACTCGTAGGGAGCTATTTGAATAAGTGGATTGTTTTCAGATTTAAAAAGTAAAGAAGATTTTATGTTATTTTTATGTACGTTTCTTTACAAAGTTATATTTAATTATAATTTTCTTTAAAAATATATTAATATAATTGAAGAATATTTTGTACCAGGTATGTACTGTACAGTACATCCACCACATATTTTATTTCACTAAGTAAGTTTTTATTATTTTATTTATAATTGTAGCCCTTATATCGTGGCTAACGATTCGGAATGTAATTGTGGTATTAATTAAAAATACATTTAGAGAAGTCTACGGTTTTTACCGGCTTATCGAACAAACGATACGAATGGACCCTTGACCATCACTGACGCGCAATTAACTGATTGCCCCTGGAAGTCGGCTTCTTACAGAAACACAGCTTTCCTACTATTAAATGTCACGGCACGACGCTGATGTGCTTATTATTTACATGAAATTAAACCTAAGGAATCCTTTAAATTACTATGATGTATAAATGTAGGAAAATGTCTTCTTCCTTTATTTAATAATTTACAAGTATATGTGATTGAATGTGTTGTAAAGAATACTTAATATTTAGGAGACTTCTACTCAAAATTTCAGAACTTTAAAATTGTTTTTAACAACTTTTAGTAATAAAAACTAAAATAAAACAAAATCTGTGCTGTGTTAAGATACACAAAGAACAGAAACCATTGCAGAAAAATCTTCTACCATGCATAGAAATAAGTTCAGTGTTCTTCGATAGATTACGTTAAAAGTTGAAGGTGTAAGGTCCGCAACGATTTACACTTAAAAAATTCCTGTGGAGTCTTCGACCTACCCGGATTTATCCTAGGTCCCGGGTCAAGACGGCCGAATGGCCGAGCGGTCAAGGTGGCAGTCTACCACTCTGGAGGATCCGGAATCGACTCCGAACGGGTTGAAAAATTCCAGGAATTTTTCGGGGAGTAATCCGACCGAATATGTCGGCCCCGTGTCTCATCACCCGGCCGCCCTATTGTGGACCTAGCCGAACCCATAATGGACTTGCTAAAAGAGGCCTTCTTAGTGCCCACAGGGCGGAGTTACAAAAAAAATCTCGACTATTAGGACTCAATTGTTCAGCGACATTTGTTTTGCTTTACGAAAAATATATATATATTTGTTTTTAAAAGTAATTTAATCTAATTTGTTTATTAAGTAAAATATTAGTGTATGTAATTATAAATTTGAAAACAAGATTATTTGTATAATTGGCAACACTGTAACACTTAATTTGTTGACAGCGTATTTCACATCGTATTTCAACACGTGGTCTGTAACTTTTAACATGGAAGTTATAGTCGGAACTTATGAGCACTATCTGTTAGGCTATAAATTAATAAAAGAAAAACAGGTTTGTTAATATTTGTAGAAAAATGCAAACATTTAATATATATGAAAATTTAAATAGTTAAAGTATTTATATATTTAAATTTAAATAATTGAATTTGATTTCTTAAAGAGAAATAGTTAATACAGTCTTAATATGTTTTGTTTAGGATTATAAATTACAACAAACATTTGCTTGTCAAGCACATATTGGACCTATTCGTTGTATAGCAACTTCGCATAAATTTTTAGTTTCGGGAGGTATTGATGAAACTATTCAGATATTCAATTTAAAAACAAAAAAGGAAATTGGAAACATAGTTCAACATAGTGGTAAGATATTTTTATATCATAAGATTTCTGAAAATGATTATTACTATTTATATATTGTCTTATAATAGTATAAACTGGTTTTGATGAACATTTCATTTGGCACAATCAGAAAAAGATATAGAACATTTATTTTAGTTAAGTGTGGTAACATTTCTTTCACTTAAGACAATGAATGAATATCATTAAATCATAAAGAACATTCAAGTACAGAAATCAGTAATTTTTATTTCATTTGATTTATATGTAAAGTATTATTGTTGTTCTTTCAAATATTTTAGAATTAACAGATATTTGTTTAATGCAGTATCTAGCTTACCACTTCATTAATAATTAGGCAAGTTTTGTCATGATTTTACAGAAATTGTACATTATTAAAATTTTATTTTTATTGTAATAAAAGATAATTATTTTATGATTGAATTTTTAGAAGTATTATTTTTTACAGAAATTATTATTTAAATTTATGTAATTGATCATTGAAAGTAATAGTTTATAATAATTAATTATTGTTTAATAGGAACAATTACCTGCTTGAGTTTTTTCAAGGATTCTCATTTATTCAGTAGTAGTGAAGATGGGACAATATGTGTCTGGTCTTCTTCAAATTGGAAATGTCTTAAGACATTAAAGGGACATAAGTAAGTTTTAAATTTGTTGAAATATTTTTATTAATTATTTATTAAATATTTATTTAGGTATCCTTCATTATTTTTAAATTAAAATTTAATATGAACAGATGCATAGTAGAATGATCAAAATGAATGTTTGGAATAAGTTTGTTTCAATTTATAGGATGTTTAAGAAAGATCTTTATTATTATACAAATTCATAACACAAAAATGAAATGGTTTATTGAAATACAGTTTACAGTAAAAGAAAGTTTATATTAGTAGTTTGCAGAATTAAAAATGGTGATAATATAGGAAAAAGCAGATTGTGTATTGTGGTTAGCTGAAACAAAGTCATCATAACTATGCAAAGAAAGTATTGCAAGAAGTACAAAAAGACACCATCAAGTGTTTCTTCAATTTATGTTCGGATGAAGAAATTTTAGACACAGGAAGTGTTCAACACTTGAGATTATGTTGCCTTTGACATCGGATGAATCTGTGGAACAGTTTAGAGAAGTGTTCTGTAGCAGTCTGTGGAATTCAAAGATTTATTGAATGTATGTTAATAAAATACTTTTTGAGTAATTCTTTCTTTTNTTAGATATTATTTTTAATTATTTATTAAATATTTATTTAGGTATCCTTCATTATTTTTAAATTAAAATTTAATATGAACAGATGCATAGTAGAATGATCAAAATGAATGTTTGGAATAAGTTTGTTTCAATTTATAGGATGTTTAAGAAAGATCTTTATTATTATACAAATTCATAACACAAAAATGAAATGGTTTATTGAAATACAGTTTACAGTAAAAGAAAGTTTATATTAGTAGTTTGCAGAATTAAAAATGGTGATAATATAGGAAAAAGCAGATTGTGTATTGTGGTTAGCTGAAACAAAGTCATCATAACTATGCAAAGAAAGTATTGCAAGAAGTACAAAAAGACACCATCAAGTGTTTCTTCAATTTATGTTCGGATGAAGAAATTTTAGACACAGGAAGTGTTCAACACTTGAGATTATGTTGCCTTTGACATCGGATGAATCTGTGGAACAGTTTAGAGAAGTGTTCTGTAGCAGTCTGTGGAATTCAAAGATTTATTGAATGTATGTTAATAAAATACTTTTTGAGTAATTCTTTCTTTTACCACAAATTACATTTCAATAGATTACTTCATTTTTGTGTTATGAATTTATATAATAGGTGTCTAGAAAGATTATTGGGACACCTGTATGTTTATTTAAACAGTCATTTATTTATCAACAAATAATAATATAATTGATAGTTTTTAATTATTTTGAGAAAATTTTAAATGTCTTAAATTGTTATAATTGCAAAGAAGATTCCTACAACAGTATAGGCTTAAATTACAAGACTTTATTATTAATTTTCTAGAATTTGTTTGTAGTGTATTAAAAAAT